GACAGAGTTACATTGCCGTGATATTGTTATTTAGTTGACTGTAAGATTCATGACGCTTGTTTAATTATACTTAGAACTCTTCATCTGAATGTAGTTTGTCGACAAGCTACTGGTTATCTGGACTCAATAACTCAAATCATAGTGTATTAATACTTGAAAAGATGATCGTTGAGGTTGAATTTCGGTGTGAAAATCAACATTGAGGTTCATGTACATTCGTCCAACAAGTCCTAGTTCGGATGAAACGTGCTCAACAAATTCCACAGCTAGCTGTAATCCAACAAAACTTCCATGATGTTAAGTAACTGAGCTCAAAAATCTACAACTGCTATATACCAATTAACTCAAAATTTAGGATAGTCACTTACTCTTGCTGATTGTCGCCATTCATCTAACAATATTCAAACATAATATTTTAAAAATTCTCCCTTTTTTCTCCTCTGTTGCTAACTCTAATTTATTCTAGAATATTTATGAAGATTGTCATGATCTTTTAATGAAAACTATGGCATCTGAAACTGATATTCCCATCAATTCAGATGATATACCGATTGACTCTTCATCTGGATTTGAAAATGGTCATTCAAACAGTAACTCAAATAGTCCAATTACTCAATCAATAATTAGTTCACCTGAAACTAATCTCAATAAACATATTACTAATACTACTACTAATAATAATAATTATGTTAAATTGGATTTACAGCCTAATAATTTCGTAAAATATGAAATTACATCGTCAGGTAATTTAAATTATCAAACATGGTCAACAGATATAAAAGATGATTACAGTATTTCTATTGATGGTCAACCAGTTCAAAATCAATTAAAATTCAATGATTCAATACAATGTAATAATTATTTAAATCAAAATTTTTATTCCTCAACTAATACTGATCAAATAAATCTATTGGATACATTACCGAGACCATATTATTGGACAAAATCATTAATTGAATCATCATCATCATCATCTAATTATTGGTTACCAATGTCAACAAGTAATCAATGTTCATATTTTAATCCAAAATCGTATTCAACTCCAAGATGCGACGATGATGATAATGATGAAGAAGAAGATGATGATGATGATGATGAAAACATTGATGAAGATGATGATGAACATGAAAACAGTGAATTAGAACATGATACGAGTAATGACATTAATAATAATACACATGATACATGGACTTTTAATAGATCCAATGATTATAGCTATTTAAATTCAACAACAACTAAGGATAGATTAAAAAATTCTGAAATAATTTATCCCAAATCACCATCACAAACTTCTTCATATCAAGAATGGAGAAAATACTGTTTAAATAACGAATCAAATCAATTGGTTTATAACTATGAACAAGGTAATTCACCGAAAACATCTCAAGATCCATTCAATTACAATATTCATTCCTCTTGCTCACAAACATTACCTGCAATACCACCGATACCTTCAGCGTTAATATCATCAGCTGAAACACAACCATCACGATGGTCTCTTATAGAATCAATCTGTGTACAACAACAACACCAACAACAAAAAACTGACGGAAATGAAAATGAACTAAACCCCATAAACTCTGTCATTATTACAAATCACAATTTCACCAAAATATCCGATACTCAGAAAAACACTATTATTCCATTAACAAGTGAATATCAATTTCAAAGGCAACAAGAACCACAATTTCCTGATCCATGTGAACATACAACATTAACATCAACAATAACATCTGTAATAGCTGATTCAACATCACCGTCGTCATCATTATCATCATCGTCATCATCATTACATAACAACACATTGTACATTTAGATATCGGAAAAAAAAGTTTCACTGATGAATGTCGACAAGTGACGAAATACCAGTCATATTGTTCATTCATTTCTATAAATACAAATACATAATAATATTTATTTATACATAAAAATAAAATGATTCTATACGTTTCACATAATAAGTGAAATACAATCATTAGTATTGTTAGTCAATTATTATTTGAACTACCTCGAAAAATACTATTATTCTTATCAATACAAGTATATTGTTCAATTTTCAATTAACTCAGAGATTATTAAAACAAAATTAGTCAAAGTAAGGAAATACTACTGAATAATTTAATCTATAAATAGTGTATATTCTACTGTGAAATTGATGTAATTAGTAACGGTTAAAGGAAAATAATAATAAACAAACGGATTCACCACATAAAGAAAAATGAGAAACATGTTTAAATAGTATTCAGGATCAATACAAAATACATGTAATTTTGATACATAAATTACTATGAATATACAGTCGTAATTACATCATGATCATGGTCACGATCACGATCATCATGATCATCATCTTTATCAGCTTGTATACTGTTTGTTTCATTTGTACAAGGGAATTGAAAATTGTTGTTTACTCTGTTACTTTGCGGAGTTATCACTTTTAAACAATGTTACTTAATTCCTTTCTATATATATATAATACCACAATCATCATTTATCTATCCATTCTAGTAGGGTAAAGAGATTATGCATCTTTACACAGATTGCTTATTTTCAAATGAGTCAATAGTGAGTAGTTCAGTAAGCTACAATATGCATGCAAGTTGTTTAGTTTGAAGGATATCCAAAGATAATTGCATAGCTATTTTCGGCGAAACTAAAATTTGTGGACGAAACAATCACGTATAAGATAATAGGTCTCGGATTTCGGGCACGAGATTCACTCATTTATTTGAATAAATAAAGTTTTGACATTATACATGATGTTAATTCGTGATAAAAACCCGAAATTTAATTCCTAAACTTAATCATCAAATGTAGATTATAATTATAATTCCTCACACAGGTTTATAACCTTCATTTGATCCTGGTTATTAAGTGGACAATCTCCAAGTCAGCCTAGAATCGCTCAAAGGTCGTTCATAAATTATAGTCACACCCTATTTTCTCTTCGGTGGTGAGTATTTCTCATTTCAATTCTCACAGATTACATAAGGAATCATCAAATCTTTGATATAATGTTAAGATTGGTTTGAAGATGATATTGAGTCACTGAGACTGGTGAACAGATTTCATCTCGATCAATAGAATATGGTCAATACTAAAAATTAAACAAACACGCCAGTAGCCAGTACTTTATGGTCAATTAATATAAATGTAAAGCATTAAAGTAAAACTTGGTAGTGTAACACGCTCAAATTAAGATTAAATTGTTTATGAGCTCAATTATGTGTTGAGTTTTTACACTTGAAATATTTCAAAAAATAGGCTGAAATAGACGTCAAGAACATCCTGGTGTCCAACCAATTATCAAGTAACACATCGAATAATGTTGTAAATAATGTTCAAACCTAGAACTATGTTATTCTACTAAAAGTCATATCAAAACATGGTTGACAGATGAGGAAATAAAGTTTAAAGTGCCATTTTCACATTCTAATAATATAAAATGCAAATAGAGTTGAAAATATAGAATGTTTGACAGATATCTAAAGTTAATGAATGTGTATAAACGATAGCACAATCGACTAACAAATATTACACCAATAAATAAATGATGGATACTGAACTAATGGCTAAGCCATATCCATCAGACCTGAAATTTCTTGAGTCTTCCCTTTGACAATATATTGAGTGTGCATTGCTGCAGAGTTTCATGTCGGGATGAAACAGATAAGCACAAAGCACCCTGATTTTTATTAATCTTTAATCTGTGACTAGTATCACTAAAACTTATGGCTGACTTCGACAAAATCTCAGTTTCTTTTACGTCATTTACCGAAACAGTGAAATTAAGAAACCTGTTTCAGTAAATGTAATACATCCAATTATTCATTCCTATCCGCTTGTTGGGAGTTTGTGTCAGTAATTCAATCGAATCCATAAAAATGTTTACTTATACATATGCTTGTCATATAACACTCTGAATCTAATCATATACCTTCCTATTATATTCTATATTTGTAATGAATACTTAAGTCTGACTGAAACTCTATAATCATATGGTCGCCATGACGTTGAGTAGGCTTACCTAATTTCTATTGAAATTCCACCAGTTAATTGTCACTTTTGAAGACAATTAATGGATCGTTCGATGAGCACAAGTATGAGAGTACTAATCTTGTAATATGTGCCATTTTTTGTTCTAAGCTGACTTGACATCAATTAACCCTAATTTATTTACTCAAACAAGTATAGGTCGTTATCCCGTTTACCTTGGGTTTCATGCTAGCTGGAACTCGTAAACAAGACATAACGACAATCTTGAGAAAACCGATGCCACCTGTGGAATTTGATTTCACATCACATCAAGTAATTTGAGGTCTCAGTATCTCAATGGTGACATGTGAGCCTGAATAACGGAAGGAGTTTGAATTCACGAGAAAAAATAAGACCGATCAAGATTCCAGGTACCTCTTACTTATAAGTCTCAAATAGAACGAAGCTTAGGCAAAATAGAGTTCCTCATCGACTACCTTCGGTCACATAACATAATAACATAATGAACTCGATTTTCAATTGCTCAGACTGATGGCAACATCTCAACTTTATTGACAGAATTCGATCAAACAAGGCAATGGCCACCACCTAGTGATCAATCATTGTGGATAAGAACAAAACGCTAACTGTCCGTTTTTAGAACCAACATTGTACATTTCAAATAAACATTAATGCATGATCAAAACTTATATTTTTTACGGTAGTTTTTGCATACACTCGACAGTTCATTCAATCATTATCGTGTAAACGAACAAGCTACAAATAAAGAGATATCTTTAAATTCAATATATGGATCAAACTAAATTTAAATTTATCATCAGCTCCCTAGTTTATTGCTGTAATAAACTGGAAAAAATAGGTCATTACTTTTAGATAGAACCAAGTCATATTTGAGTATTGATCATAAGGTCACTATTTATTTTTATATTACTGTTTAAACTACTTGTTAGTAGGTCAAGTCTTATGACGAAATTTTCAGGACGTGACTTATTGAAAAAATTAAGTCAGTATTAAGTTAATGTATTTACCATAAAATTCAATCATTACAAGCATATAAATATAAAGATATCGCTCAAAAAATAATAAAAAAAACAAACAAACAAAAACAGATTTTATACAGATAGTTCTTGGTTAAAATATTCAATTAATTTATCCAGATTATAATTTTCCAATAGTTTAAATAAATCATCCTTTCTATAGCTTACATCTCTCCCTTGAAAACGATATTTATCAATGTAGAGACTGACAATACACTCTAAAAATTTAACAAAAAGAAAAACAGGTAAATTTTGTTTGTAAAATAACTCGAATCCAGAACACCAATAACAAGTTCCACTATACGAATCATTTATTTCAAACACATTCGGTTTATATACCAGCCAAACAGACCACATCACATTATAAAATAAGAAATAACATTTATCCGTATAGGGTTGTAGAGATTATGGCGTTTTTGATTGAGATCATGAACCGATTGATATTAGACTATCATGAAAAATCTGGAAGCACTGGACGGCTGTTTCGTCCCATTATGAAACTCCACGATCCCGCTCTTGGGATTCAAACCTAGGACCTTCATTTCTGCGCGCGAACACTTAATCTCTAGACCACTGAGTCGGCATCCAACGGTGTTAATGTCTAACCTCAACCAATCCACGAAATTGCCCGACCATCTTCCATTGTACTGAGGTAGATAACTGTCTCTACCCGACACGGATTAGCTCCACTGGTCAGGGATAAGAGGAACACGAATATGAATAGTTTAGTTATTTAACAATTATACAATAAAAATATACGCATAGTATTGTTTCATAAATGGATCTCCAAAATTACCACTCATTATTCTTATCAGGACATAACATACTATTATAGAAAATATCTTACCATAATATCTATTTAATTGACATGATTGATATTTGAATTCTTGTTTTAATTTATTTGAATCTTTCCATATTTGTACATATTCTAATGGAAAATAATCTGATGGTAATGGATTATCATTTGGAGTAATTTGTTTAAATAAACAATTATCTCTATGGATAGATTGAATTTCATTTGAAATTAACTCTGTTATTGGTTTGATTAATTTTACTTTCTTTTCTAATTCTTTAAGATAAACTAGTTTGGTATCAATCATTCTTAACATATATTCTATACTATCCATTTGAATATCTAAAATAAATTGAAATAAAAGAATCTTTCATGAGAATCAAAATTTTAATATACTTCTAATATCAGTAGTATAAGTCAGATGTTCATCTGTCTATCAAAAGAAAATTATACCGTATATATATTCACTCTGATCAACTTCGAGATCAACAAGTTGGATTCTGTAAGGATCGGTCATGTGCAGATCAAATTGCGACACGAAGGATCATCGGCGAACAATCAGTTGAGTGGAACTCGTCACTGTACATCAACTCCATTAACTATGAGAAGGCGTTTGATAGTGTGGACGAGAGAGGATTACGGAAACTTCTTTGACACTATGGAGCTCCTGAGAAGATTATCAACATAATTCGGAACTCATACGACGGACTACAGTCCAAAGTCGTGAATGGAGGACAGCTGATAAATGAATTTTAAGTAAGGACCGGAGTCAGACAAGGCTGTCTACTCTCCCTCTTCCTTCTGGTAGTTGACTGGATTATGAAGACCTCGATATCTAAGGGAAAGCATAGAATTCAATGGACAGGTCGAAACCAATTAGAAGATTTAGACTTCGTAGATGACCTTGCCCTTCTATCTCACACACACCAACAAATGCAGATGAGGACAACTAGTTTAGCGGCAGTTTCTGAAACAGTAGGCCTCATTATAAACAGAAAAAATCCAGTTCCTCGAATACAACACGGAGAACACCAACATAATCACACTTGATGGAGAAACTCTGGAAGATGTGGAATCTTTCATGTACCTAGGAAGCATCATCAATGAACGTAGAGGATCGGATACAGACATTAGGGCGAAGATTATCAAGACAAGGACAGCATTCCTACAGTTAAAGACTATATGGAACTCAAAACAACTGTCAACCAATTTCAAAGTGAGAATTTTCAATACGAAGATAAAGATAGTCCTACCGTACGGAGCTCAAACGCTGAGAACTACTACAATCATCATCAAAAAGGTACAAGTATTTATAAATAGTTGTCTACGCAAGATACTCAACATCCATTGGCGGGATACCATCAGCAACAGCCTTCTGTGGGAGAGGATAAGTCAGCTTCCAGCTGAAGAGGAAATTAGAAAAAAGATTTTCGAAGTGTATAGGATATACATTGGGAAAATCACCAAACTGCTTAACACGATGTCATTTGAAGCGAAATGTACTAGGTTCGAATCGCGGAATAAACGTTGATTCTGGGATGCAGGTGTTCCCAAATTACTAGTTCTAAGTAAAACGAAACGCGCGTCCTAAATTCCACTAGTAGCCATCATCCACCTCTGCTTATAATTTTTAATGATTGTTTTATAGATTTCAACCTGAAATTCCACAATTTCTCATACAGCTAACTCCTGTTTTGGTATGACTGCCTTTAACCCTTTTTCGCATATTAGTCACCGTAAGGGAATTATGAATTTTCTTTGTTTATGCATTTCCTAATATTATTAACTATATATCCCAAAATTACCGAAATCACAATTGATATTCTAATTCCGTTCTTAAAACTGCACAGAACACTGGGGAAAGTACCTCACACCACCCTGTATTATTTTTCCTCTAAAACTCCTACGATAATATGCATAATATATAAAACAATAATGTACCGTACATAATAAATTATACCATAAACAAAACTAGAATGTTTACGGTACAATTGTAAATAACAGGATTATAACTTACTAACAGTAATATATGAAAGTAAAGGAATGTAACAACTATTAAGGAGTTAAATGGTAGCTTATAATTAAGGAGACGGAAAATATTAAAATACCAAGAGCCAATCGTTCATTGAAAACGTCTACAGTCAACCAATATTTAATACACATGTAATATTCATCGTTTCCAAGCACTTTTCCGTTCTCCTAATGGGTGAGTACTGCATTTAGGAATATAAATTTCATTGGGGAACTTCATTTGAACCACCTAAAGCTATCTGCATATTTCCCCACTATGAATACGCCACTGAAGTGCATCCCAACTTACCGGATGAAAAAAAAAGCAAACTAGAGCATGAAGCAAAATCTTCAGTGGAAATTATGATCTTATATTCAGTATTCACCGATCAAGTGAACGGGAAAATGTTTAAAAATACTTGATACTGTGAACATACTGGATATTGTAAAACGAATGAACTACAAATTTGCCGATGAATATAAAAATAAAGTAAAAATTGTATATACTGCTTCATGGTGAAGAATAACTTTCAAAGTTTCTCATTTCTACTCCTCATCTCAGTTAAAACAAATGCATTAATCAATATGTGTTTCCATTACTCCGTAAGGTTATGTTATATCTAATTCATCCAACTGATATCATTACTTACGGTTTCCTGTTAGATATCTAAATAACCATGTCGTTTTTTAGAAAATTATCAGTTGATTAGAATTACAGATGTGAAATACTGAATACCGACTAAGTATTTCGAAAATTAAACTTTCAACAAGAGACCTGATGTTCTTGCATTCCATCTCAGGTGGGATCAAGGATGATCACTATCACAGAGAAATCCTAGAATAAGACAAAATAGCTGAAGACATATCTGCGAAATACATTATGGCTCCTAAAACTGTCGCGTTATATCCAGGATCTGAATAAAGTTCATAATTTAGCTCATTGAATTATAATACAGTGGTCTACATGCAACAAACTTGTTGAAATATCCAAAAGTCACTAATCTGATTACCAAGAGGATTGAACTTTAAAAAAGTTCTAAATAATGAGTTTAAAAAAACTCTTCAGTGTTGTATAATCCTTGCTAATTTCCCGTCTACAATCCATTTCACTTGCTATAAATTAAATTCGTATACTTCATAACAGTAGTAAACTATTGTTGAGTGGTTTTAAGAAAGATATGTTAAGTTCCAAACGTGATATATTTTGATTTATGAATAAATAAGACTTCATTACAAATACTAGATTTCTGCAACTATGGAATAACAACCAATACTAAATGATACGAAAATTTCATATGTTCATGGAATACAATAATCTAGGAGATTTCACTACTTAGTTATATGAATTTTATATTGAATTTAATACAATGTTCATAGCTTACTTTAAAAACTTTCTATCAGTAGCGATAACATTATGTACACTAATGATATAAAAATCCTCGTTTTCTATGAAAAGGAACTATATGAAGTGATTGAAATGACAAGAAATCAATTAAAGTTCACGAATGTTTCTAGTAAGAGACATGTGCCACATTGTTACTAAACAGTTGATACAATTTAACTACTTATATATTAAACAAGTAGTTTAAACTTCTTACAAAAATTATTGTAACATGACTACAACTTTTGATAGTTATACCAACTAACTTATCACTGAATGATTGAGTACAAGTCAGTTCAACTTCCAAATTTGATAACAAGATAATAAAGAGTACCTAAGTTGATTGATAATTGAATTTTCTTTCTAGTAGCTTCTTTAGTTAAGACATCTTTCAATATAGCAATTGTAGAGAGATTGTCCGACTGGAGATTAGCATAACCTTTTGCATAAACGCATTTCAATTGACTTTTAAGATAAATTGATTTATAGAATAGTTGGGCAGATTCTTCACCATCTCGATTGTCATTATTATCACCTTGAAATGTATCCGAATTAATTAATGTAGGCCTTTCAGGTGTTTCAGGTAAACACATAGATAACCAATTATGCATTTCCGCTAAAGAGAAATTACCAGTTAGTTGTAAACTGTTCCAATATCTATTTACAGTATAAAAATACGAAAAAAACTCCTTAGGTATCTCATGTTAGACAAAATTAGGATCAAATCATGTGTGTACACCAAACTGAATCGATAAACAATGTGAATAGCTTATTGGAGAAACTAGGGAGTATTGAATAGACTGTTTAGTCAAACTTCCCTATATATGTGGATTATTGACACACTATTCAACTGCTCAAAATCGAAACAAGAAATAGATGGAAGCTCCAACTATATAATCTATTAGTTAAAACCTATTTAACTAGTCATCACTACATATTATATTAAATTACATTGTCAAAATATCCTTTTAACAAATAAATTCATGCTTCACTAGTAATATCAACTATTATATAACTGGTAGATGTGTAGTCTCATTGTTTGTTTGGTAACATTCATTTTCGACTTTGGTCAACATTTTGACACTTAACCATAAATATAAAAATCAGAGATTGAATTCTTGAAAGTGTAAATTCAGTCAGTTGGTCAGTGATTATTCTTCTCTGGAATTTTAAGTCAACATAAGACTTTGAGGGTTGATTCCGTGAATAAGCAAATCTATTCAACCACATCAATCATCCCAGTAATACAGTAAACTCACCTTTTTAACGGTTCATCTTCTATATGATGAGTTAAACAATGTAATGATAACGGATGTATTAATAGCTTAATACATTTACATGTAACCATATTTGATAAATTTATTTTTGGTACTACATACACAGATACATGACCGTAATGACCTTCAACTGTACGAAATTGAATGTCAAACCGTGTTGTATTTACTTGGCACCGATACGTTGTTAATAATGCATTCCCGTCCTAATCAAAATCAAGTAGAAGAGAATGAATGTGTAGTTAAAAATATAAATCAACATTTTAAGTGATTGGTCAGTGATATTGTGCATGCCAGTTATACTGACAGATATACTTAGTGTGTAGCATCAGTCGGAAGTGTAATATATGCAAGCAGAAGGTCAAGAAGATTGAACTGAAGAAAAAGAAACTGAAAGTAATCATGATAGTAACAGGAATAAAAAAACAATGAAGCTTGTTAGAGACAGTTCGAAGATGTGCAAATGATGTATTTGATGTATGATTTTCACATTTTAGTAAACCACTACGTGAGTGTACATTGAATAATAAATTGCTCTTCCCTATCTGAGTGTTCATTCACTTTATTTCATGTCGATGCTAAATAAGAGGCGGAAAGGGTGAAGTTCTACAGATAGTTGGGGTGGTCGGGTGCAGAAACCTGACATCGAGAAGAGTGTTATGTCGGGGCGGCTTCGGTTATAGCAGCCGCCGTTGGAGCAGAAGAGTCTCTGATAGACATCGAATTTAGATGGCTTTGCAGGTTGATATTGCTACGGAGGCCAAAGCGCCGGCAGACTCTACGTTTCGACGGAGAGTGTGGCACAGACTGTGGGGAAGAAGGAAGCGACATAAGGAGCAGAATGTCCGCAAGAATGACTTTCGTTTAAAGGGAGGACGAGTGTAGTGCAAGCTATGTTATGTTGATAGATATAGGTACTATGTAAACCGAAAGTGAAATGTATCTCTGCAGAAGATTGAGAGGATTCAACTGAAGAAAACAGAAAATAATCGTGGAATTGAAAGAATCACGATTCATGTAAACGATAACAGATGGAAGATGTGTAAATTATGTATTTAACATATTTTTTTCATATTTTATGAAAGCACTCTGTAATTTTGTAATATACAATAAATTAATCTTTCCCGCCTGAGTGTTCGTTCACTTCAATATGGATATTGAACTATACTGAGTGCTGGTCTGAATAGTCGTACTGGACAATTTAACCTACTGTTGGATCGATCGGCATGAATTATATAATGATATATATAGTCATTAAACGATTATCGTTATTCTCTTAGAGAAAAAATCGGTCATATTCTCCCATGTTTTACCAGTATAACTTATCAAACCATAGTTTGAAATTGAATTAATTCTAAATCTATCAAACATATATTTATATAATCAGTTATCACAGATACCCTTTTTTCGTTCTAAAGTTATCTATATGCTACTATGTTGTTCAAACTGAAATTGAGTAAGTGGTTTTCAAAATTGACACCTAGTAACTGATATGACGGAATGAAAAGTCAAAATTATATTGATTTATTGATTATGATTTTTGGTTCAACATTAATTCCGTTTTAATTCAATGTGTTCATTAGTTCGTAAAGTATTTGTTTCTGTTATGCCGTATGACATTCTATTCTGTATAACATACGATATTCTTAAATTGAATGAACATGAAATATACTCAGCATGTAACTCGTTATAACCCTAAGTATTTTTCATATATGTGATTTCATCCGAATTATTAATCAAAAAATGGGTTTATGAATCAATATATAAATGAGTGCATTTCCAACTAGTCTGGTCGTGGTTGTTTGTGCTTTTGGCTGCTTATGGAATATATTTCCCTCTTCCTAACTTGAACTTCTCTCTCTAGTTAGCGGGGCTGAGACGCGTCAGAATAGCTAGCTTATCTGTCATTGTGTCACAGAGTCTTCATTCGATTCTCAGACTAGGTGAACTCGTAATCTCTTCAAACATAACATTGCTTTTTATCAGGGTTGTTTTCTACAAAATGGAGTTGTTGAGCCCATGTTCGACCCTTAACCTTTATATGGGCTAGGGATCAACAGTGACCCTGGAAGGACTATAAGTAAAGTTAGAAAATAATGAATTTATGAATAAAATCACTTCCATATATTAAGTTTTGAATTCAATGAACCATACAATATGAGTTTCATCGATAGCATTTACAGGACATAAATTATCCCCTGCTTTTTCTTTAGCTTATCTGTCATTGTATCACAGAGTCTTTGTTCCGTTCTCTGATTAGTTTAATTCATAATCTATTCAAACATATCAGTTACATAACCATTAAATTATTGTTTCATATTAACAAAACAATGACCTTTAATAATACATTGTAACACTTACATCTTTTGTACATTCACTTGAACTACTTACAGCTGTATTCTCTTCAATATCAAATAAATCAATTGGACAATTACTTTGTATTAATATATGATCAATTGATATTTGAGTTTCTATATTTAAACAATATACAGATAGATCTTTATTTAAATAAAATTTATAATCTAATTCTAATGGTATTAAAATAATTTGGTCTTTTTCATTTTGTTTTTGATTCAATTTCATTAATTGTAATTGATTTTCTAAATTTGAAATTTCTTCACTTTTTTTGGATAAAAAGAAGAAAAAACAAAATTAAACATTGAACAACATTTGTGCGTTCATCATAAATATTGAATAATGAAATTAGGCAAGACTAAAATTTATGAACGAGCCAATCAGAAGCGTTTGGGAGATTTCAAGATCACGACGCCAATTTCAGTACCTGATGCTTACGTACAATCGATTCACAGTGGATTTTGGAGGACATGTGGTAATTGAACCGCCATAACAAATGGAACTATTAAGAAGTTTCTTTATTTGTGATTGTGATAATCAAATGACTTGTGGACCGTGTGCAGACTACCGTGAGGATGTTGTCCTTCGATGTAATATGTGTTGGAGGAAGAAGTATGTTAGAATACGATTTTTTCGCTCGATCCAGATTGAGACTAAGGCAATTGTTGTGAACTCAATAACAAAAGCACCCGTAACACTGACTGCAGCCGGGTTCTATAATATATACGGATGATTGGAGAGTGTATAGATGCCTACATACACTTGGTTATGTGAATCGTGTCGTTTAAGTATTTAAGTAATTTAAACCCATGTCGTAACTATGTTTTAAATATCATAGGTTGTAAGCAGTTGACAAGAACCAACGAAATAAAATGAATTCATGCTATTCTGGGTCATGAATCCTGAATCTGATATAACGCCTCATTATCGTATTGACGTATTGTTTTAGTATAACTGAGAGTCAGAAGAATATTTTAAACCATCCGTTATATCAGAACCCGGTAAAAAAAACACCCTGGATTACCTAAAATGACATCGAACGACATGGTTATCATCACCGAATGACCACTATTGGCTAGATGTAACAGAAATTAGCTATATAGTAGACATTTTTTTCCATTTATGAACCAACTCTCGTGATTTAAAATAAATACACCCAATTGTAAACCCCTTGCAAGTTATTTCTCTGAGTAAAAATATCTACAAAATCTCTATTGCTCTAACCTACGACGGAATACCTTTAATGGCGGAGATGAAAGTGCGGGAATAATAGGAAACACAAAAGGCAACCATCACAGCAACTGGTTACTCACTTTAATTTATCCATTTTTGACATAAATTGAAGTTCCATTACGTCAGGTTGATCGAAGAATGTTTCTTTTCTGATTGGTTGTGTAGTTAAACCAAAAATCAAACCTTGAAAACCAAGCCATGAAAATGCAGATTATCAATTTGACTACTATTACATTTGCAAGTAGTATAATCGTATTACGAAAATAATTTGTTAGGCCATACTTAAATGTTTGGGATACAATTTTCTAGATTATTACAGTAAAATAGTTCTTTCTTTTGAGGGAATTGATGCACAAAGCTGAACAAACATAAATGCACACTGTTTAACCCCCACTTTAATAAACAATTACATGTTTTTTCGACAGTAATATAAATTTACTGAACACAATAACGGAAAAGGAATAAAATTTTACTCATATCAAAAGACACTGAAAATGTAATTGATGAGAGCTTATATGTTTATGAACAACATCGTAAGCTTTAGACAAAGATTATTAATTGTGAAAAATAGTTGTGCAACATGACAAGATAACATTTAAAAATCGAGATGAAATGTAATCAAGTAGGACATGGAGAAAGAAATAAGTAGGTTAAGAGTATAGTATAGTATAGTTCAGTACAAAAGAAGAAGATAGTGTGATGGATTTGGAGAACTAGGCGGTTAAGACCATGACAGAACAAGGGATTGAATAGGTTCCTTTATTATATGCATAAAAACAAAACATACCAGTATATGTAATGCATAAAAGTTCCGGATAATTTACATTAGAAAATCGACCAGCCATCACGGATGTTAAGTGATAATTTACGTTCTAAAACATGAAAAAAGTAAATAAGACATTAAAGTTCAAGATAAAAAAATACAACTTTTAGTGTAAACACGACATGTACATACTTTTTATCATGAGAGTCAAGGAATATATAGTCTTCAAAGAGGATGAATTCAAAATGACATTCCTGGGTAATTTCCACAGTAATACAAAGACCATTGGATGAATTTTGTTACCGAATGATATTGTTTTGTGACGTATTCGTTTTTATCAATGATTTTAGGTAGCCTTCGCTGATTGGTAATATTTAGCCTTAAAAACCGAGGCCTTATGTTTATATCAAACAAAATTCGCTGTGATCTTCATACAACTGAACAATTCATCGATAAAAGTTGATAAGCGTTGTAAACGAGACAACTTGACAGACGTCACTTTTCAATGATCAGTAAGTGAGACGAAAGGTTGCGCATGATCATGGATTGATCGTAGTCGGACATTAAAAGCACTGGATGCCGATTAGGGGCTCTATAGATGAAGCGTTCGTGTAGGCCGAAGGTCCTGGGTTCGATTCCCGTGTGTGGGGCCAAGGATGCACACTGCTAAATATTTCAATACTAGGCCGAAACAGCCATCAAGTGCTTCCAGATTTTCAATGGTATTTTAGCTTAGATCGACTAGTGATATCAACAGTGAAAATATAGTTAAAAAAGACAGGAATAAAAATAATCATTGGTTAGTTTTTCCTATGACCCTTACTTTCAACCTTGATTAGTCATTTAGCAAATGATAATTAACTCGAGGTCATTATATTCTGGATGAATAATTGTCTAACAATAATAACTCTTTTGAATGTTTGATATGTATATGCATATACATTCAGTCGGTTAGTTTTTTTAATCTTTTGAAGACTATTCAGTTAGTATTCCGTGTACAAATTAACAGCTCAATAAGATACGTACATTCAAGTACAATCGGTTTAGACAATGGCAACATATAAGGCCGCAAAACTGGGTTTGAATCTCATAGGACATACTAGCACTCTATTGAGGCTATGAAATCTACAAATATAAATTAGGAGGAACTGTATCAATATAGCTTTAAGGTGAATTTTTGTTACATTAATTTATTTTGTGTGAATTCTATTATCAAAATTTATCAAAGGAACTAATGGTTTTGAATTTTGTTAATTGACCTTCAACCCATTTTTCATTATAAGTTGTGTTCATAGATAATTACTCAGTTTTCATAGTTTACATCAAGAACTCCTCAGTAGTATGCATCCATGACTTCACTGGAGATCATACCTAAAACCCTCAAATCAAGCAGGAAGCACGATATCATGTAATCAATAAACTAGCATTCAACAAATTATATTTTCAATCATAAAAACTCTATGATATATATATATATATATATATATATATATATATATATATATATATATATATATATATATATCAAGATTTCCATAAAATGTCAGTGGCCAGTAATTTCCTGACCTCTGACTTACATCTTATCACCAGGATTTAAAGTAATGAGTTTGATCCCATATTTTGAAGCCGTGAGTGGGTGCTATTGAAGAGATCCATTAAGGGAAAAAATATCTGTCCAATGCAGTCTAGTTTTGAAAGTTTCTCAAGATAATATCAGTTTTTGATAAAAAGTTCTTCCGTTATCAAACTCTCGACATATAAATAATTTCCATAAAATTATTTAAAGTATCTATCACTCACCGTTTCATACATCAGTAATGGGTATTTATATTGATCATATTTATACAGTTCGATTCTTCCACTTGTAAAAGCAACAATTAATATCTCTTCAGTATTTTCACTATCATCAACATCATCATCATCATTGCTATTGTTTTTGTTATCATCATAATTCAACATATCATAATGTTCCAGTGATAGAATTTCACTGGTACCAAATTTTGATGAGGCTTCCCATATTCTTGTGACATTTTCACTAAACAAAACAATAACAATAATAGTAGTAATAAGTATCAAGTAAGGAATAAAAGATGCTATCAGGAAAGCTTAAATCGATAAATGTGTTTTATTAGTATCTGTTTGTATAAGCGGTTTGTTCAATAGATGTCTTAATAAATACTGCTTGCGCTTATATGATTATGATACTAGTTTCTAACAGTGGAACCCATATCATGGATTTCATTAGCTGAATATACTTATATCGCACTGAAAAACCCAACACCTAGTTCTTTGAACGTTGAGTTATCCGCTAAGCTAGTGATTCAAGATCATATTTAGCTTATTTAATAGTTATATCAAAAGAAACTGTTCTAATGTACCTCAGAATGTTAACAACAAAACATAAATCCTAATGAGCAATAGCATGTAACCTTTAAACAAGTTGTTAGCTATCATAAGTCTTGGAGCTCAGTAAAATAAGCGCTAAATAATAAATTCATGTTTCACTGTGAACATCAAAACCGAGATCAAGGTACGTCCATTTGCAATTAATGACAGTTACAACGAAACTCAAGTTCTAAATTACAACCCTAGTCGCTATTGGAAATATATATTTAATTTGCTGAAAATATGTTCAACAGAGGTACTGTAAAACTAAAGACGGCATGTAGAAAATACCGAAATTGAAAATTAGTCCTGTAAACAAGCACAAATAAATATGGAACATTCATCAAATTAAAAAACGTAAAGTTATTTGTGAGTGATCAGTACGTTTCCTTTCTACCAAGTGAGTTTGATAGCAATAACTATACATATATATACTATGATAGCCTGAGCCATATCATCACTTCTCCATAAGAATTCGTCAGCAACTTAAATTTAAAAATAACTCACATATGGATATAATGACTAGGTTATTCCAAAGAAAAGAGATTCAAATATTCTATTAAGTTATTTAAGATCAGTATAAAAACTAATCATGGAAAAGTAATCAATACAAAAATGCATTGATGAAGACCGAAAGAAATCCTTCTTATCAGAATCGAAGATTTATCTGGATTGTCTGCCTTAAAGACAGCTTAATTAAGCTACCCAACTACCGAAAAATATAAGGCAATAAGAATTTGGTTTGTACTTATATGACTTATTTAATATCCACACTCACGGGTTCCTAACACGGATCAAACTCATGACGTTCAGGTCTCAAAGTAAATGTGCTCCCATTATTCTACTGAGTTAGTATTACAGAATAAGCCAAATAAATTGACAAATTTGAATTATTTATACTGCAGTGTTTTCACAAGTATTAGTAAACTTAACGAAAGTTACCATTTCAAAATAACAACATTCATTAAAAAAAAAGCCCTGTGACTTCTCACTCTCATGTGCACCTCTTTCCTTACGGGTATGAATTAAGAATTTGCAACTCTATCAGTAACCATGTTGCTGTACAGTCATTAAGTTAACAGATTACAGAGAGTTGATAATTGCTCTCTTAATTATATTGACAAAGCTTATCGTTGAAATAGTTATCTTGATCATTTGATATGGTTGATTTCATACACTTCAATATAACGTTAGAAACTAAAGAAATTTATCTAAAAATCAACAATTAATTATAATAAATAAAACTTCAGTCAATCAAATAATCAATCACGAATTGATTGAAACTAGAAACATCAACAGTTGGATGCTAACTCAATAGTCTAAAATTTGAACCCTCATAGAGAGAAATAACGATCTTAATTTCTATCTTAGGTGAGGTCATGGATATGTAATGCCCCTGATAATTCGCATAGACGAAGGAAACAGCTGTAAAATACCCCTGGTTTACAAAGAATATATAACTAAGGTCAATCTTTTACGTAAAGTACAAAATGTATTAAAAATGTATTCATTTAATCTATGATGCTCTTTTCACAATCCTTTCATATAAATGATTTTACAGATATATTAACATTGATAATATTTACCTTGTCACTTGAAAAAGACCAAAATAACCTTCTGATGTTCCATACATTAAATAATTTGAAGGATAACTTTTATGCGCTTTATTTAGGTAGACTGGTGAACTAGAAATTTCCAATTCACATAACAATACACCATTCTAATAAATAAAACAATAATCAGTAATATCAAGATTTTAATTGTTTAAAGATCTCCATCATATTAAAAGATTCATATTTGAGTGAAGAATATTCTTTTCGATAAATTCTCTTCAGGTTCCTACAATTCATAGATCCAAATTAATAATCCGAAAAATGGCTAGGTGAAGTGCATCGTTTAAACCATGTGAATTTAGGATTGTGATAAACAAAATACAATAAAATTGTTAATGTCGATGTTGACTCAGCCAGAATGTTAACTTGAATCTGCATATATGTTAAGTGAAATTTTAAGATCTATGATCAGAATAAATATGGGTCAAATAGGGTGAGAGAGAAATAATAGTGCAATTACAATTCGATCAAATAAGTAAGACGTATGAATGCGAAGTGAATGAATCATGTATAGGGGAGATTAATGATCTTTAACCAATAATACGAATAATAATAATAATAATAATAATAATACGGTTGACATTAATACAAAGATTTATGAATAAAGATAACAGGGACAATTACAATTGACTACGGAAGGCCATAGTCAAATTAGTTCATTCAATAGCTAAGATTATTATTGATTAATTGGTCTTGATGTTGACCAGGGGAGGAGGAGTGGTTGAAGATATTTGTTCTATACTCATATCTCCGGTTTCTTCATCCTGATGGCAATTGTTTCAGTCGTTTGAAGGACTTTAGGTTCGACAAGTTTTGGTAAAAAATTACTGACCCTATAAATAATTGAAAAAGATTGGTTTATACTGGCACTATGACCAGTTTGTACTAAAAGAGCCAATATCGAGCTGTTCACTTTTTTTCATCAAACCTTTGTTTAGCCACGCTAGGAGGTGCTCACGAGCACAAAAATGTAAATTCCTAGAACTTCGACCAATATAACTCGCTCCACAGGAGCAGTTGAACTGATAAATACAAAATGAGTTGGTCATTCTAGGCAATTCATCTTTTAGTCACCATTGGGCGCGTATAAAACATTAATCGCAGTTCTCCGGCGTTAAAAAATTTATGTATTGTCTTATGTAATCTCTGAGTTACTATTTCACTAGCCGCGTCCTCTCTGATTGATTAATTTGGATCTATAATTATAGAACCTGAAGAGAATTTATTGAAAAGAATATTCTTCTTTCAAATATTAGTCTTTTAATATCAAGATTTTTATGAAACATAAACTAGAAAATTTTAAGATTTCACTTACTTTCAAAATACGTATTAATTTATCTTTACAAGCAAGAACAACAAGTGGTATTGAACATGTAGCATCATTATTAATCACATATATACTTGTAATAATATCAGGTAATAAAAGAAATTCAGTATCTTTAAAATTTGTTAATTGTTGATACATACATCCTACAGTATAATAAATATTTGTAGATTGTATAAACCTAAATCACTCAACAACAAAAAAAATAATTATGATTATTTGTTTTAATTAGTTAACATACATTGAATTCACATGACCTTGAATAGTTGAGGGATATTCAAAAAGTGGTTTTCCTTTTAATGTAAATCCAGATATATTAAAATTATGACAAACAATAATAATACGTTGTTTCTCATTATTTTGATATGTTCCAATACAAATACATGTAATTGGTGATTCCACAGAAAATTTCGTATGCTATTAGAAATATATATAAATATACATTACAACAACGTTTTATTCTATCTTATTTACCTTTAATCCATTAATATATTGAAATGAATGTATATCACCAGTAGTATCTGCCACAATTAATTTACTTTTATAATGTTTGTTAGATAATGCCTTAGATGGTAATAAAAGTTTTGCAGAATTTCTAATGGTTGTTTTTATCTAAAGTATTACATAATCAATTTTGTTTTATATTTTTTTTCCATACAGATGTATAATGTATTTGATGAAGATTAAATGACATTGAATATTCAATAGTATTGTTTGAATCAAATTAGTTTCTACGCGTCAGTCAATCAATCAGCTACAACGTAGGCTGAAAATATATATTTTAAAAAAAAGAAAAGTTACATTAGTTCCTTTTAAGAGTAAGTACAGAAAAAATATAAACGAATTTACTCGACGATTTACTTCAGTAGCTTGTTACTGTCAGTAGCATGATAAAATACCAGTGAAAAAAAAGTAAATATTACGTAAAAAAAATGATCCAATTGGAATGATGGTAAGATTGGCATGAAGTTAATTTCATTAATTCTACATCTATGATATTGAGTAAAAACTATTTACAACAGAATGATAACGATTCGAAATTATTTTATCATTAACCATAGATTTGAATGACACCGTCACACTTCCTACATATCAATAACCTAAAAATTTGAAATTATTTTATTTATTTATTTTAACACATAGATATTGGTACAAGAAGGCACCAAATACATATGCGCCACACAAGTCACATTCAATATGTGTGAGGGCTGTGATACTGTCCGGGTGCCCAGATCGAAACAGGTGGTTTTCTTAAAGGGCCACACCCCAAGCCTTCGACCTGAAGGTCTAATCCACAAGGCAGTGGAGCATCGTAAGGAGATGCAGTCCCATGGAAGCCGGTGACCAACAATTGGTTCATACGCCATTTGTTCCCGCAGGATACTGAAGCCCATATGCACCATCAGTCTGGGATCCGGTTAAAGCGCCGGACATTTGCTTTTCGTCCTCTCATTTTTGTAAACATCACCCCCGCCACGAGAGGGCAGTGAGTAGGACTTCCCTGGCAGAGGCTATATACGCGTGGCCATGTGAGAGCATTTCGAGAGGGATAGCGAACTCTCCCCACTCTCGGCCATACCAGGGCATTTGGGGGCTATAGTAGACAATATGACTCATATATCAAGTACATGTTTATGTATTCAGCTCTACGTCACACTTTCTTATGATCGGTAACATTACTACATTTTTAAATGCGTTAATTTTAGCCATGACTTCTATTTTATTTTGCATTATTAATTATTCCCCATCATATATATTTGACATGATATACTTTTTGAAGAAACGATACCCAGGTGATTATCTTCTAAGTAGTTCATATTGATCACATATCGTCTAGAAGACTTTTTCAGGTGTGAGATACTACATTACTATTAAGTTTTCATATCATTCATACAAAACTTAAGATACAGATAGGAGTGAAATCATAAAACACTGGCAGCTCTATGCTTTTAGTGTAACAACAAGGATCCAGTTACATGAAATTTTCTGAACTACACAGACATGAGGGTTTAAATAAGACAAGATAATATGAAATGGCTTCTAATCGAAAGGTACTGAGAAGTTGAAATCAACATTTAACTCGTTACTTAAAATGTTTTTTTTCATATGATTAAGAATTAACAAAATGTTTCAGTGTACTTGAGGAGTAAATTAAAAATTTCATTAACAAAATTCCAATGACTTGAATTAGATGGATGAAACTTTTATTATAAACCAGTCACTTAACCAAAAAATACATTATTTGAAACAATTCAGTAAAAAGACGTCACTCCACAAGGATGGAATTCCATTTTTTATTGTTTCAATTTAATATCGAAAAAACAAAGTGACATAACGAGGATTAAAATAGGTTCTAAAAGTTGCTTTTAAGATTTTAGAAAAACGACCACTAAATATGAAGTTACTATTCATAAACCAGTATTTATCATTCAATCATCTTTATATTACCCTACAAGCAATTACATTTTGGTTGTTTCATAATAAAATACAGAAATTATATTGTATAACCAGCACTGTGAGTTAGTAAATAAAAGATATGAATTGATTAATAGATTGAAATAACTATATATAAATTAATTATGCAGTTCAAGCCAAACATTTTACACCTGTTCAAAATTCTACGGAGAAAAATAAGTTAGTTAGTCAGCTATAATCATCGTATAGTCTAATATGAATGTACTTTTGCTCAAGCTGCCGCACCATATTAGCAAAATGAGATGAAAATAAAAAGATGACTCGAAAAGGAGTTGAAATAACGATAGCATCAATTTTAATAAATACAAAACGTTAAAAACCTGATTCAAAAAGACAGTGTAGAAAGGTATAAAAAAGAAGCTAGAATTAACAATCGAGAAGTTGGAGAGTGAATGGATTAGCATCATTTTGATTTATTCTGGGACATATCACTAGTGTTTCCGACCAATAAACCCGATCATAGCGAGGACCACAACAACATATTCCTTACCTATCAACATACATCAAACCAAGTTATTGACTTAATTGACTGATCCAATACACCAAATTAGGACCGTCCAAGTTTCTTTCGACTTGCTTCTACAAAAAAATTCACATCGAATTACGCAGTAGTTGGGCATATACAACAAATATCCCAATCACCTCAACTGATGAACTGATGAATAGAGTTTCACCAACCGACCTGCTACTCTTATGACTCACTCAGTTTTTCCACGTTTTTCAAACAATAAATAGATGACATCTCTGATCAGACACCTTTGGTCTATATATATCTTCCACAAGCTCTCTAACCTACCCTCCACCCTACATATGCTTGGTCAGCTGATAAAGAGACTTATTGTCAATGAAAATCTGTCATCTGTCATAGGAAATACAGATTTTTAGTTCAGTTAGCCAGATTATATAATTTTGACCGACCTCGTTAAAGTTTAGTAGTTGAGAATGCAGCAAAAATTTAATAAAAAGTGCATCGCAATGGCAATTTGCCATTATATTTGTGAGTTTTCAAATATATTTCTAATCTCTAGGTTTAAATGCCTACAACAAAATAAGATGCATAGAAACATTTGCAAAATTGTTGACTTCTGGAATCCAAAACAACAATAGTTAGCTGAGTTCATGTTTATGAAACAACTAATTTTGCGAACTAACAGAAGAGTATGATTAATCGCATCTAACCGTTTGCCAAATATCAAATTAACAATTGATGCCATCTTATGGTCAGTAGATTTACCGCCGAGAGATTTCTCAGTGTATTATCAGTTCAATATGTTTCTAAATAAGGATAACTAGAAAACAAACAACCAAAATGTAGATAATCTCACTAGATTCGTTAATTATCAATCTTACGTTACGTCTCACTGTACTTAACAATATATTCAGAAGTAACGAGACATATAAAGCAAAAGATCCATGGAATCCGTCAACGGATACTCAGTTACAATTTCATGGGCCAACTGCGATGTTTACTCAACAAGTAAGACTAAAAAATCTAAAATTCATATCGTAAATTCATACTAAAGTTTTATTTTAGTGATTAAACATCATTAATCTTAATTTGAAAAAGCCACATTGACTTACCACTCATGAAATAAAATTTTAAAAGAGAAAGTGGACATAACTTGTCAAATTGCTACGAGAATATAGTTTCACAACTTGGAGGATCATTTGAAAGCGTGAAATGCAAAAGTAAATCTAGGAAGGTTTGTGATTGTTGCAGTTGCTGTTTCCATTTAATGAAATCATAGAAACAGTCTGTCAAGAGCTCGAAGTCAAATGCTGATGTGAATGAATGTTAACAAGACAACTTAATTTGTATGGTCAGTGTTATTTTTCTAATGAAATATTCCAATGTTGTGCGGAAGTGCATTTTTTAAAGTCATAACATTAAAGGTTAAAAGAGATCATATGATAAATTAGGCAGCAAGTATCATGAAGTAATAGAAAAACACTATAAAAGTTATCAGAAAGTGGGATCAGGCGCAACAAACGTGAAGATAAACACCATGATTGTTATTAATTTTATGCATCTAAATTTACGGAAAGTGAGCTTCTGTTCACTAAGCAGAACCAAAACCTGATGATAAATGACTGTATTGTCTGGGTAATTTCATATCATTGCTTTAGCCTGGTTCTTTTGACGAAAGATAAAGATTTACCTTGGTAGTTCGAAACAATATTTATGTTGTATAAAATAATAATTTTTATAGGGTCGTATTGGTCTTGCACGAAGACGTAATGAGCATAAGATTTGTGGCGAAATAATCAGTTTCACAGTTTAGGTAAACTTATTTGACCTGAGGCTGTTGAAGAAATTCAGTAACTCTTTACGTTGGAATGAGAAAGGTCGACAAACTGTGTATAACTTGGAGTTGCTGAAGCAGAATCGTAAGCTATGTATTCAAAGCAGGATTACATTGTATTCTATGATAAACATTGCTACTAATTTGACGAAGTGTTTGGTCTTATGCTTTCTATGTTTAGCTTCACCTTTAATTTTCAACATCTCGTAAGTGTTGGCTGAGTACAAGCCGTTTATAGTATATGTATAATTAATTCAATATTTTTCTTTTATTATTATGCAAACCCAATCAACCAACAAAGGGGAAATAAAGGTGAAAATGCGTTAGAAAACAAAAGAGAAATAAAAAAGAAACTCGCCAAAATTTCTGCTTTTTCGCCTAAATATACGCTGAATTGTGTGATTAATCACACAACATGCTTACTTAAGTATACTTAATAACAACATATCATTATTTGCTGCCTTCTGGTCTAGCTAGTATGAGGTCTACAAAATGATTTCAATAACTGGAGAGTGGATATTACCATTAAGTTCAAAAGAAAGAACTATTAACATATAGCTATATATTAATGGTTCTTTCTGGAAGCGAATGTCTGTTCCAAATTAATTAATAAGCAAAAATGAAACCATTGAATAGTAACATGATGGATCGTTATTTTTGAAAAGTTTAGATAGATTTTAGTGGTTTAAATCACAGAAAGTACTTTCTGCATAGACGAACTCGTCTAGACGGAATTTAAATTTGTCTATCCAGGAAGTATGTTTGCAATAAGGAAGAATACGGGGTAGCTTGAGTGATGAAGGCTTGAAAGGAAAAGGACAAGGTAAAAAGTGTTTCGAAAACAGAACAAACGCACGAAATACACTCACATTCACTAAAACAGTCAAACAATTCGAGATAGTACAGTTTCTTGGACGCGATGATAATAGTCATTTGGCACACTAAAACAAGTCTATTGAACTTACGAGGAATTAAATTGAGCCACTCAATCAGTCTCCGCATTTTTTTAAATTTTTGTTCATCTGTCATAGTCCTAGATGACAACCTCTCAGTCCTGGCTCCCCTGGGAAAAAGCGATCACGCCGTTATAGCTTTCAGTCTCGTCAGCAAAACTGAGCTAAGATATCCCACCAACAACTTGCGCTGGAATTTCAAACGGTTTGATGTGTCAGCTTTACAGGACTATCTACAACAGGTGGATTGGGATGTTCACCCTCTATTCGATGTGGACTTCTTACTGCACACCCTCATATGGGCAACAAATCATTCAGTTCCTCAAATGGTCTCCCATAGCTATCAGCAACTCACAGTCATCAGGAACCACATTTTTCGCCTGCTAAGCCGCAGAACGCACTGTTGGGCAGAGTACAAATGAACTGATAACAACGGCGCGTACAGGCAATACGTATAAGGAACCTATGCACGAACGCTGTAAGAGAAGACAAGCTTCAGTACCAGACAAAGCTTATGGACAAATTTGTCTCTAACCCGAAAAGCTTATTCCGTTATTCAGCCTTTCTTCGTCAAGCCAAAACTGGAGTTTCCCAACTGCCGGGTCTTAACGGCCTGACCAACAACGATGGCGACGCTGCTAACGTTTTGGTTGAACAATACTCTCGGACATTTCAGCCGACCCACATAAACTATACTGACAAAATCTTCATCTGAAACTCCAAAGGACTTTCCGAAGTGAACCTAAGCTCCGACTTGGTGTTCCGGAAACTGCAATACTTAAGAATTGACACTTCTCCTGGCCGGGATATGGTTCATTCTACCATACTGAGGGAAGCAGCCTCAATCCTGGCAACGTCGCTCAGCGTGATGTTCTCACACTCACTGAGCCGAGGAAAACTACCGGAAAATTGAAAGCAGGCTCACATCACACCAATTTTCAAAGGAGGTCGACGCAGCGAACCTTCAAGTTACCGACCAGTGGCTTTTCTCTCAATACCTTCAAAAATCATGGAATCCCTGATGTGCGATGGTATAAATGACTATTTACTGTCCTCAAATTTCTTCTCACCTCAACAGCATGGTTTCAGGAAGGATTACTCTTGTATAACCAACCTGCTGTCTGCGGTGGACAGATGGACATGCATCTTCGATTACAAGGGGAAGGTTGATATCATTTACCTCAATTTCTCAAAGGCTTTTGATAAGGTTAACCATACATGCCCTATCGATAAGCTCAAACGATTGGGTATCAGACCACCTCTAATCGATTGGCTCACTTCATACCTGAATAATCGACATTTTAAGGTCAGGGTTAATTTCACATTATCTCAGGCTATGGAATGTCCTAGTGGGGTTCCCCAGGGCTCAGTATTAGGGCCTCTCCTCTTCTTGATCTACATAAACGATCTTCTTCAACAGGTAACGTCAGACTTATTACTTTTTGCCGACGACGTGAAACTTTGGAGAGAGATACGCAACCAAGACGATATGCAGGCACTCCAGGAGGATCTGACTCGACTTCAAAGTTGGACAGACGATAACGGACTTACCTTTAACACTTCAAGGTGTAAAGTAATCCATCTGCGACATGTCGCAGACTACAGTTATAACTTAGAAAACTCCTCTCTAGTAGTATCCCAAGTCGAAAAATATTTAGTCCTCGTGCTCTTTGATTTGAGTCATACTCTAAATGTGACAAAAATGCCTTCCGAGCGAACCTTGAACTGGTAACATTGAAGCACATTTTTGGCCAGTTTGACGGAAGAGCTTTCCACATAATCTTCAATAGTTTTATCCGTCCCCATTTAGAGTACGGAAACATACTATTTCCTCCCTCACTCCAAAAGGATAAGGATATTTTGAAGCGTATCCACCGGCGAGCCACGAAATCAGTTCGACGACTCGAATTTAAACCTAACGAAGGGCGCTTCCAATCACTTAACCTTTACCCATTAGAGTATAGACGTCTTAGAGGTGACCTTCTGATGGCTTACAGTATCCTTAATACTTCTGGACATCCTCTCGAACACCTACTTAAGCTTAGTTCCAACGCTAACCTAAGAGGTAACACTCAAAAACTGGAGACACAACATAGCAGAAGGGACTGTAAACACAACTTCTACTACTTAAGAGTTGTCAAATGCTGGAATTCGCTGCCGGCCGAGCTAGTCCAAGCGATTTCCCAGGAGTCCTTTAAGAGGCAACGTGATCTAATCTTAAGGATTAAAGATAGTATCACACTATGATTTACTATTTTATCTTTCCTCTTTTATTGTTAACATACCTAGTTTCCTGCCTGGAGAGTTTGGTGATCCCCTGCTACTAGACACGGAAACCTGTTAAGCGAAAGGTTCTTCTATTCCGTCCACAAACATTTGAACCATTTGAATAGTCTATAAATTCTACCCCACGATCCTAAAAGGTGATCACTAGTGGACCGTGTTTTCCGCAGGGGTAAATGACCTATGCTAGGATTGTATGATCACCAAATCGATATCTTTTTAAGCAACCGATTGTCTGACATATTTTGATAAATTATCGATAATAGAATTAAAGAAGGGTTTTCCGAACGTATTGAATAACAGTTGTATTAAAAAACTGATAGCTCAATAAAAGAATGAAAACACCGTGGCAGGAAGACGGACGAAATTTAGAGTTGCAAACTTGTCGATTCAGTGAAGGATCGGTCTTTCCTTCAAACTACTTTCCTACAGACAAATAGACGATGACTTAGTCTGTTAGTACTCGATTTTCTCTCGAGACCGTTTACTGATGGAGTTCCTTCTCTTTAGAATTACAAAATCTTTCAACAAAACGCAAGCTTGTGTTACGATAAAATACTAACGGCTAGACAATCTTTTAAATGCAGCTTAAAGTCTGTTACGTGTCCTTTATATATTTATATCAGCTGATATTAAAATCTGAAATAATCTGAACCAAACTACAGCTTAACAAATTGGAGAATTTTCTGGTGACACTAACACATTCAATAACTCCGTAGCTACAGGAGTGTTGTTTCTTGCTGAAAAGCGATTATAAAGAATACCGAGTGGAATCATTCTCGAAGTCATTTCTGTCATGTCTACATTAAAGCAAACAGAAAAGTGGGGATAGTATTCCGGCTGAAGCAATCTATTATTCCAAAAGACTATGAAATGGGTTGACCTTTTGTTCACGGATTATGAATTATACTAGCTATTAGAGAAAATTCCTATATACAGGAGCTGGAAAATAAGTGATTTTACCGTACCGGTCGTGTTAGCAGCCAATTGTATCCTAAAGTATGTTAACTACCAGCTAACTTACTTAACCAAGGGGTGGCAATGCGATAACTTTGCGAGCCTAGAAACAAGTGAACCAGTTAGTGTTAACCGTGCTGGGTCATTACAAGGGTCTAAGTCAGGTCATTAGTTACTATACAGTAATCAGTCAGTACGCTACAAAGTGTTAGGACTACTTGAAAATTGTTTAGTGTTTTAACGAGTCCAAGAGGTGGCCAACTGAAAAATAACGACACTTAATATTAGGTTGACCTCGATTTCATGAAGCGTAGAATATGTATATCGATCATTTAGGAATGGTGGAGATTTTTAGTTCAGATGGATGACATTTGCAGTTTCTTTGACATCAGAGAAAGAAACTCTATCTAAAGCTTTGTGCATTCTTATTGTAAGATCCGTTTTGAATGTTTTGTGTGTGTGAAAATCCCTCCATGTATACACTTGCACTTTGTTTCTATTGATTCCCTTAGTTGTACATTGTCTGTCTTTTGGTTACATTTGAATTGTTAATATTTGTATTTTTTGTTAGTTTTTATTTTTCTTACGCCTTCACTAAGTTTTTGTGTTTCTTCCCGAACTGTACTTGATACTTGTTCTTGGCGGCAGCCATATTGATTTGCTCCTCCTTTTGTGCTTGTTCTATCCAGTCAGGGTAGAATAGCGTTCATTTGTTGTGACTGGTAATTTTTCCCGCATCTTTTATCAACTTTATTTATTGTAATTCAGATTTGATTGATTGAACAATTATTGGTTGAATAACCGGGTGGTAATATTTGTTTATGTTCTGATGTACATTTAAATTTATGATGAATTATAGAACCATCATTTACCCGATTACTTGTTTTGATTTTGACGGATAAAGGCGCGTGTCTAACCTACCTGAACGGCTGTTCTTCAGTCCAAACCGTAGTTTGGATTCTACACTTATGTCATTAAACACCTATATATACTTCAAGTATTGGAACATAAAAGTATATACGGTACCTCAAATTTTGCTGAAACACTAGATCAGTACTAAGGAAGGGCGTTATTGTACTACTTAGGCCTGTTTTTTATGTACATTCCAAAGGTGGTAAGTTCTGAACAAAAGTCGGAAGAATACCTTTCAGTGTTGACAGTTAGCCCGTTTTATCTATAAAAAACCAAACTATTGATTGCAGTATATCTTTATTAAGATCGTGAAACAACGGTGAGAGTGCGAGGTTCTCTTTTCAAACACAAACTATGCTGTAAGTGTCATTAGACAGTCAGTCAATTCAGATGCTATGGTCTCTGATACATTGCCCCTTAATACAAATAATGTTCCATTATTCTTCACTTCTAGTTATGTTGGCCTAGGCAACTCTGGGTTATAAGGGATTCTGGACATCAGCCTTGTCAAATTCAAAATATCCATGACCACCTCAGGTCACACAGAAGCAAAAATTGGTTAATAAATGTTTGCGATACAACTGGTTAATAACGAATAATATCACAGGTTAAAATTTAGTTCAATAATGCTTTTCAGGCACTATGCATTCAAATGTTTCCCTGATACAAAATAATGTACTGCTACTGAATATGACTGTTAAGTATACAAGAGTTAACATGAATATCGCATACATAACAGATCAAGATTTTGTTTGTAAGAGTTATGTCAAACAACATACGTATTTACACTACTAAAGAGCAAGCTG